TCCGCATTAGTCCAATCCCGTAAACATGTTATGACTTCAACCATCTCATTGGTTAAAGAATATCTTCTCTCTTCAACAATATGGCCACTAATTGAGAATATTGACTCGGATGCAATTGTCGAAACTGGTACATATAAAATGTCACGTGCCATTTGGGTTGCTATAGGGAATTGACTTGCATTGTGGTTCCATCATTGAAGCATATTGATCTCACACTTCTTCTTCGTGGTCAAGTAGGACATGTCTATTTGTAGGTACCGATGTAGCTCATTTGGTCCAAGTTGTCTGTATGAGCTACTACTTCCACCACCACCGCTGCCACGTTCTACAAACCTCCAGATGCTCATTCCTTGCCATCCTTAGTCTTCATCAGGGTCATGTGCTTGTCTCTGCTGGTGCTAGACACTCCAATGTACTAGTCTGATACAAAGAAAAAAAACTTTCCAATTTTCTGTTAAAGTCTATCAAATAAGAACTCTAGTCATATTGTAAATTATGGCCTATCTCAACAACCGTACAATTAAATACGCTTAATTTAAATCTATGATTTATAATAAGACCTAATTCATGTAAGAATGGAATATCTAACTGATATTTCCGGTATTTTTTCTCCATTAGAATAACAATGTCGCACAAATCTTCATTATATCTATATGTAGCAAAAGTTGTAGAAATTCAAAGTTAAATATCTAACGCTACATTAATAGTAGGATAATAAATATCACTTAATATATTAGTGAAATCGTAAAAAACTTTAAGAAACAAAAAAAATAGTTCGCAAACTGTCCAATCGGATTCATTGACGACTTCCTCCAGATAGTTCTTCCGGTTGACGAACTTTGTAATTTGTCTCGTGGTTGGTATAGCTTTTTCCAACATCAAGTACGTGGAGTTCCAATGGCCTCTTGGAGACAATATTTGTGGAATTCAGTCCATCTTGAATTGCTATCAATGATGATTCTGATAGTCACGCGCACCCTTTCAATCCTCGAATGTATACAGCTTTTAAACCTGCTTTAACAATTAAATTGATGATGTGGCAAGCATATCTTTGGTGAAAAAATTTGCCTTCACCATGCGGATCTAATATCTTTTCAAATTAAGAAATTGCCAAGGTGTTAGCAGCTACATTATCAAGCGTTAGCATCACAACTTTCTCAGATAATAAATATTCTTGCTAAACTTCAACAATTGTAAAATATGTAGTTTTAGCACTATGTTTTTCATATAATGCTTTAAAACATATCAATTTTTGTTGTAAATGCCAACCATATATGATCTAGATAATGTATTGTGACACTCAAAAAATTTGTTTTTGATCTAGCAGCTCATATATCAGAAGTAAGTGCAATAGATATATTCCTAAAATTTTGAAATTCTTTTTTAAGTTGATTTTTTACTTTATCATAAAGTTTTATTGTGTCCCTTCTAATTGTACCTCTACTAACATATGTAAATGCTGGATAAAAAGTATTTTTAATCAATTCAACAAAATAAGGATTTTCAGATAAAAAAATAGGAGAGTCTGTTGCACATATGAATTTTGCTATTTCCTCTCATGCTGTGAGTGCATTGTATTGCCATGTTGAGAGAGTTAAGAATTGTGGATTAAAATTAAGTTGATCGAGTTTTAATTTGCCTACCTGGTGCGGTTGAACTTGAACCGGACTGGCGGGACAATTGCTTATGTTAGGGGTGCTTCTTCTCCAAGTGCCGCCACATCATCAAAGTCCCGTTCTCATTGCCGATAATAGTTGAACAAAAATTACATTCCCCGCACGTCTCTTCCCCCAACCCATTCAGTTTTGGCCATTTTGATTTGGTGAAGAATTGTCATATCCTGGACATTACCCTCTTTGATGGTTAGGCCGTGGAGTCACAACTTGCTTGTGTTTGATTGAACCTAGTCCCAACTGTTGATGGTTGTGGAATTGGACTTGCTGCCTCTTGAAAGGGTGAAAATGGATCAAACCCTTCCATTTCTTCAGTGGATGAAACATAAAATCCATTTCGGGATGATCCTCTGAATGCATAATTTCGAGAATCCATTATGAATTTATAATAAAATAATAAAAAATTAAAATAAGAGAAATTGAATAATAGATGAAATTGAAAAATTAAAAAAGATTGAATAATATAAATAATAATATGAATAAATGTAAATATAAATTGAATTGAAGAGAACTTGAGAATTGGAGTAGAGAGATTGAGAGAAGAGAATAGATTGAGAGTTGAGTTGTGAAGAAAATGGAGGTTTGGGGGTTTTTATAGTTGAGGACAGTCAACTGACCATTGGCTACAACAGTCAATTGACTGTTGATTGAGCAGCCAACGGTCAATCGACCGTTGGCTGCAGCCTGTAATTTTTTTTGTAAAATATCATTTTAGCCACCTATATTTATTGTAAATTAAAAAAAAAGGTTTTTGGTAATTTGCCAAGGTTCAATTTGAAAAAAATCAAATAACAGTTTAGGCCCGGGCCTTGGAAGAGGGCCCAAACCAGAGCCTAGGCCCTCCTCCATGGTTTGGGTTCGGTTTTAGGACCTGACCTCCTAGGACCGATCCTCATAAGGATCGGGTGTAAGCCTGACTTTTGGGATGGGCTTTTTGGGTCAAGCCCCAAATGCCCACCTCTAATAGAGACCACACATTTGTCCTGGTGTTGGTGTTAGTGGGGATTCAAGAGGATAATTAGAAATTGATAAACTGACAAAAATAGGAGTTAATATTGACCCTCGACTTTCTAAAATAACAGAAATCCTCTTACATCTAAAGAATACAAAGTGGTGCAGCACACAATGATTTGGAAAGAGAAAATGTAAAGTTAACTCATTAAATGAAGATAAATAATGTGTCAATTAAACCAGGTTCAAATCCCTCTAACTCCCGAAAATAAAGCAGGTGATCATAATGGTGAGATGCTATGCCCAGGGGCGGATGCTACTCTAATTGTTAAAAAAAAAATATTAATATGTACAATTTCTGGATTTTGTCCCACCCTAACAGAAATATTAATGGACAAAAATATTAATGTATAATTAGTTTTTATTTTGGCATACCCTAATAGAAATCTCTAGATCTGACCCTGGCTGTGCTAGTCACCTATAGGGATTAATCGAGGTGCGCATAAGTTAGCCCGGACACCCTGTTTCAAAATTTTAAAGAGATTTTTTTTATTAAATCAGACTTTAGAGAGGTTGGTCGTGTTCAACTCTTATAAGAACACATAAAGAAAAAGAACCGAAAACTTTTACCCAAAAAAAAAAAAAAAAGGTATTTGGGTCCCAAAAGCAATGTTTTAAAACCCAGTCCAGCCCGGCCGGTTCAACCAGGACCTGGAAGCTTCAACGGGTCGGGTTTAATTTTTTCCTATTCACCCAATACCCTAGGATTTCCGGTGATGATCGGCGAACAATTAACTGTTGGAATGTTAGGGATTTTGAAGAGCTATTTCCGGTGAATGCAATGGTGGTGAAAGATTTGATTTCCGATGAGTAAATCGACCAAAAATCGAACAAAACTGGCAGCAGCAACGATGAGATTTTTTCGGTGATTTACGAGGCTAACGGGGTGGGGTGAGGGCGGTTTTGGTCGGGAAGAAAAGGGGAGTAATTCTGGGGTGATGGGAAGGGTTGTTGTTGCCGAAATTGATAAGATCTGGCCTGGAATGCCGACGTAAACGTCGGTGAGATCTGGCCGAAATCGAATCTATTTCGGCCAGATCTTGGGTATATTTTGATGGAAATGGGCTCAAGGGACGATTGAGGTTGCATATGGGGTGTCGCCGCCGCTAATCAATCGCCAGTCGATTTGCAGTTGGGGTGTGTTTGATAAATTTCAAACCTATAAGGACTTACGTAATTTTTAGGGGTATATTTGCTGAATTTTAAAAGTTTTTATCAACTGGTCAACCCGGGACCCAGTAGTTTTGCCGGGTTTCACCCCGGGTTGGGTTTTAAAACATTGCCTAAATGAGAACAAAATAGAAGTACATAATGAGAGAATTTTGAGAGATGATTGGGTTGAGAAGCCCCCTTATGCTCCATTAATTAGCTTCCAAAACATGACTTACTATTATTCTCTTTGTTACGTGATAACCATTAATCTTTGTGAGCAGCACATATTCTTGCCTTATTGACCATCTGACTTGGAACATTTATGGTGAACGTGTCAGTTTAAAAGGCCATTTTTGGAGCCTTTTTAAGCATCAGTATAAGCTGAAGCTTTCTCATGCTAATAAAATCTCAAGTACAACCTGGGATCTTCATCTTCTACAAAGACACGCATGGAGATTCTTTCTGCACAAACTCAGTCTTAACTTTTTTCTTCTGCGCTTGTGTCACTCCAAGAATGGTTCAAATATGCAAGAAATTTAACAAATAAAAGCAACCCTTTTCTATTTGGGGACTATATATGCATCAAATACATCAGCCATGGAAATAAACTCTATGTGATTACTTGTCCAATAAGGAAAGAATCCCATCTTAATAATGGAATTCCTATAGAAAATGAAGCTAAAGATGGCCTTATTTCCTGAATGGTTTCAAATGTTTTGAGTATTATTCAAGCAAAGTCTTTGAATGAGATTGAAAATGTAGATTTAAGCAGATGACAATGACGGTGAAATGTTATATTAGTCACCTATAGGGGTTAGTCGAGATACATACAAATACATATAAACTAATCCAAACACTCTGTTAAAAAAAAAAAAAAAAGATTGAAAATGTTGCATTTTCACATGGTGATTGAACTTTTATCTTTAGTTGGGGAGCGAATAAGGGTGCTGCTAATTCCACCCCACCTAAATCTGAGGGCAGTGAATTTTGGGCTTTTAGCAGCCCATTACAAAGTGATTCTTGTTAATTGGACAAAAAGCTCAGAAGCCTTTCACTTTGCCACGGATATGGGATTGACTTTGAGTGGCTTTAGAAATATTGCATTCAAAAGCTGGTTCTCTTTAACCATTAACCTTAAAAATCGAAGGGCATCATGGTTATGCTATAAATTCATGTACTCAATCATATTAACAAAACGGGAGGCAGAGAAGAGACAAGAATGAGTTGTGTAGATGGTAGAAGTTGCCTATCTTCAATCTTCAAATGCCCTCTTGAAACTGAAGTTTTGTTTGAGAAGAGGAAATCAACATGCAATCTCATGCTCTCCAACACTCACTTCTTCAAAATGGCTAGACTTTCATGCAAACTATCAGACAATGAAACTCGAGGAAACCCCTCAAGTACAGAAGTCTCATTCAGAAGCAAAACCAACAGAATGGAAGAGTACAACATTGCCATGAAGAAAATAATGAGAAACCCTTATGAGTATCACCATGATCTAGGTTGGTTCAATTTACTTCTTTAAATCTTTTCATTTTGTATCTGTTTTTCTATTAAATTTAGTTTTCTGTTTTAGATATTTCCTGGCTGGTTTGTTCTAGAAATGATGGATAAAACGTTATTATGTTAGTCTGCTTTCTGGATCTATAAAGCATGCTTTTTTTACATCGGTTTGTGTTGGATCATGTGACTTGGCTTCTAGAATAAGATCCCCATTAGTTGGCTAATTAATTTTTTATTTGAAATTGACCCTTTTGGAAATCCTAAAAGGGAGGTTAATTAATGTCAAATTTGGGTCCAAAGAGAAAATTCTAGCTCTATTCACACTAATCAGTGGAGCTTTAGGCGCCACAGGAAGAACTGGGGAATTAATTCTAAACAGTGTTCGCATCTTGATGCATAATAAATGTGTCATTTTATAAAGTTTATTGGCTTTTGAACAATCTAATATGAGGCGGTTGAAATTCCTTCTTTTATAGAAGTTATATATTCATGCAAACATGCCGTTTGTTTGGACAAAAATAAATAAATGAGTTCTTAAATTAAGTACTTGCATTATATTTTCCTCAAGATGGATTTATTTCGGCTACATAAGTATTCTAATCAATCATGTGCGGTTGTCAGGCATGAACTACACCCTGATAACTGATAATTTGATCGTGGGTTCTCAGCCCCAGAAACCTGAAGATATTGATCATCTGAAAAAGGAAGAGAATGTTGCCTACATACTAAACTTGCAGCAGGACAAGGACATTGAGTATTGGGAAATTGATTTTCAGCCTATAGTGAAAAGATGTCAAGCAATTGGAATTCGTCATATGAGAAGGCCTGTAAGCAAAATTGTCTTCGTTTGTGTATGCAATTTTAACATAAGTGGTGCAATATATATCAGAATAAGGCTATAATAGGAACAAGATTCTCCATAGCCAAATTTTTAACCATAATTTCTACTTTTCTGGACCATTTCATGTTTATGTCCAGTTTCTATGTTCTAACAGTGATTTTGCAGTAGTTAGTGAATGTATCTCTGCTGGAGGTTCAGGACTAGAAACTGTTCAGGGTCAATACTATTGTATCCATTTCATTCTCAAGTTTGGTGTTTCTGGCTATCTTCCTTTCCATGATTTTAAGATGCATTTGTAGGCAAAAGATTTTGATCCGGATTCATTGAGAAATCAATTACCTAAAGCGGTCTCATCATTGGAATGGGCCATTTCTGAGGGGAAAGGAAAAGCATATGTGCATTGTACTGCCGGATTGGGAAGGGCTCCAGCTGTTGCAATTGCTTACATGTTCTGGTTCTGTGGCATGAATGTTAGTTCTTGATTCCATCCTTGCCTTATATATCTTTCCTTATATTTCAAGCAAGTTAGTACTGCTTTAAATTCTATTCGTCAGGTTAGACTTTAGAGAATGAGTCTTCCACTGTTCCTTTTAAGTTATGCCGCTTAATAATTCGTAAGCTATGGCTATGCTTTCCTTCTCCTGCCTGATTATGACTTTGGCTATGGTCTCTTGACAGCTGAATACAGCATATGATACACTAACTTCAAAGAGACCTTGTGGACCTAACAAAAAAGCAATACGTGGAGCTACTTATGATCTGGCTAAAAACGACCCATGGAAGGAGCCCTTTGAGAATCTTCCAGAATACGCTTTTGAGGACATAGCAGACTGGGAGAGGAAATTGATTCAAGAGTGTGTCCGTTCCCTCCGTGGAACTTGAGCATTTAGGTAATTATCTCCGTCCTAGAATTCATCCAAGACATAGTGCTTTGCTCCCAATATGGGGATCTCTTCAGTGAATACATCTTACCATTTAAAAACTAATTAGTCAATTCCTTACAATGACTTTTATTATGAGTTGTTTATGTAGCTAGGCGATAAGCCACGGTTATCCAAACAGCTTCATTCTTGATCACTATTAGATCCTTAATAAGCGATAAAACATCGACACCTTTCAGTTTGGACCAAATTTGGGCAAAAAACTTTTATGTGATTGAAAGGATATCTGAAATTCTTTTTGTTAGTGTTGTATAATAGGAGCTTTTGTTAGTGCTTTGAAGTAATTTGCATGCTTGACAGGCTTCATAGTTATCAGAAGTTAAAAACATAATGAAGCAACTAGAGATCAATATTGTGATGCCCAGGGCTGAGAGGGAAGTTGGAGGAGCAAGTTCATGGCAGTGCTCAAACCAGAAAATAGCTAGAGCTAAGAGTAGCTCTGGCCAGTCCAAGAGGAACTGTGAATTTATAAATCAAACATTATATCGCTACATAATAAGCTTCAATTTCAAATTACCTTATTATATTTTTTATCTTTCTTTAAATAAAAATTTAGGTGCCATAGTTAAAGTTGATTCAAAAGGTTTAGCGGCAATAATCTGTAATCTAAAGTTATAAATCTGCATTATGCAAGTCTCGAATGTTGTTTCTGAATGAGATTATTTAGTTCTTTCATTAAATAGCCGCTATTTGCTTCTTTATTTTGGTATTATTCTATATAAATTTGGGCAACACAAATGCAAGAAATGTGTCATTGAGATAGGTTTAACTAAGGAGTTGTTATGATGGATTAGCAAAACAATATGTTGCATTTGCTGCAAATTAACCACATCCAAAAGCACAAAAGGTTATTGAAAAGGAGAGAACAATGCATGAAGACTACCGCTAACTCATGTATGCTTGTTGCAACAATCATTACCAGCATAATTTTTGCAGCGGTCCTCAAGTCATTACCATTTAAATTGATGGTTGGACTCTCTACACTCTTTGAATAAATAATCACCATGTTGGTAGCTTTTAGCACAACCCTTTTATTAGATTATCATGATAGATTAAATTGTGTCACCATGCTTACTATTGTAGTTGCGTCTATACCAGCCACTCTATTGTTCTATTGCAGTATCCTTTTCTAGGAGATATGTTTTGTTTAACATACTATTCTGGGTTTTTGTTTAAGCCAAGTAAAGTCATGTTCTGATTTACTTAAACTTGAAAGTTTATTGTATTGTATCATCCAAACCTATTTATATTAATTAAGTTTTTCGATTCAATTATGCAGTAACTTTTTTCCTGTAAGTAATTGTTGTTCGAGGCAGTGGTGATGAAATTGTAATTGAGAGGGTCATTTTAATTTTTTCATACATGATAGTATAATATAACATGTTGAGAATAAAAATCAATCTAAGCCCAATAAAATGAAGCATCAGTAGAAGGACCTGGGGGAAGCTAAGAAACAATCCATAATAAAGTACATGGGCCAGCAATAAAATGTGGGCTACTGAAAACTATAATGTTATTTAGGTACCAGTAAAATTCTATATGAGACGATTTGGGGGTAGCAGTTGATTCCGGCCTTTAAATAACTGAAAGAGTTTTGGGTAGGTCTGCTGTGGCCGATTCCACAGTGGCTGATGATGTGTCAGGTGCCCGCTGTAAACACTAAACATAGCTCAAATTCATAGTTAATACATTACAACTTATAACAAAAGTCCATGTTTATGTTACTTAACCATTTGACTGATTAAAAGCAATGCAATTAATACATCTTAGAATCCTATGCCACCAATGTGAGTTTGAAGAAGACAGTCTACCGAGTTAAATTTAATGTAACAAGAACTTTGTCACTTCAATTATTAACTAAAAAGATAGTCAAATCCAAGTTTAGGTGTTCTCCTCACAAGCATATTCTATTTCAATTTCTTTCGCTTATCCTATTAGTTTGGTGCTCGTACAGTTATTTATTCTGTTTAGATTCTTCCATGTAGGGTTATTTTATTTCTGTTTCTGGAATGAAAATAGATGTGAGAGATGTGAGAATCAGGCATAGCCAGTAGAAAGGTTAATCCAATCCATAATGATATTGTTGATGCGAGATTTTGGGCATCAACTAATCAATACGTGTGCAGCGTTGATTGATTAAAAAGCACACGTCAAAAGAAATATATAAAGAGAAATAAATGCTATAAGAACTTTTAAAGTGGTTCGGATGCTAAGGTAGCAAGTCCTACGTCCATTGATTTGTATTGATAGTGAATGTGGGTTAGGTCGCAACAACGGACTGACTTACAAAAGGTTTAGAAAAAGTAAATGAATTAGGGGTAAAACGAATTTTCTAAAATATTCATATGGCTAATATACTTACCCCCCTCTCCAAAATCTGGAACTCTAACTGCACTAATTAATAGCCTAAACAATAATTTGTGATAAGGTAAGGTGTTGTCATATACACACATAAGATATGGTGTATTAAATTAGAAATGATTCATAAATTAGTTTGTGCAAGTATGTATAATCATAGGATAGAATAGGAAGAGGTTTGAGTTTGAGATAGCTTACTGGAAGCAAAGTTTGAAGGGAACTATCCAACTTCAACTTGAACCACAGTAGGCTAAACAAGTGTTAAAAAATAATAGGTGATTTCTGAAGAAGGGTGGGTTACTTTGGCAGGCAGCTTAAACACATAGTAATGTGAAAAAAAGCGATCTAGGTAAGGGTGAGGCGTTGAGGATGGAGGTAGCAATTAAAGTGAGTGACGGCTCTTATAAACACAAAGTAATGCAATATTCCTGATTGAACCCCCAACTCTCAGACGGCGATGAGATGCGATATGGAAATTAATATATTTTCCAAATTCTATGAATAAATCATGTGGAATGGTAAAGTTAAGTTTATATGTGTATTGATAAGTGGTCAGGTCGTCTTGATATGGCAATAGCAATCAGATTGTGACTAAATTAATCATCAAATTAATATGTATTATTTTGGCTCTCCTTTTTATAAAATTTGAAGAATCTGGAAAAGTCTCTGTTGGGCTCCCTAATAGTATCTCCAAATGATTTTTTATAAGACCCAAACTCTTTATTATAAAGAGTTTATCCATAAAAACAGAAATCTAACTTACTCTTTATCTTTAAAATATAAATTAGAAATTGAGTTTGACTCTTTACATTTTAGAGAGTTAAATTTCACTATCTATCTTAATTTTAATTAATAAATTACAAGTTTCTAATTTATTAATTCTCTCTTTCATTAAGAGCATCTCCAATGGTGATCTTTATTCTGAAAAGCGTCTTTTATATAAATAAAGAGCATCTTCATTCATTTTTAAATATAAATAACACAATTTTTATTTAAATCCAATAGACTTTTTAAATTTAATGAAGATGCTCTTTATTTTTAAGAAAAATACTTAATGGGAGAGATAATTAATAAATAAAATGCATAAGAACTTGTACTTTATTAATTAAAATTAGGATAGAGAGTGAAATTTGACTCTCTAATTTATATTTTAAAGATAAAGAGTATGTTAAACTCTTATTTTTATGGATAGACTCTTTATAATAAAAAGTTTCGGATATATAAAGAATCATTTGGAGATGCTCTTTCTTAATCTATTCCTATCCATTTTCTATATAAAAGCACCACCAGGTCCACCACTCTTGCCATTATTATTATTATTTCCTAGTTTTCTAGGTGTAGTTTGAAGCTTGTAGGGACTTTTCCAGTATTGGGAACTTTCTAATTCCTTTGTTTATTATTACTGTTTTTGAGTCCCATTTTGTTCTGGTTTTTAACCCTCAAATAAACTTCACAAAATGAGAGTAGCTAGGCAGCCTGCTGCAGCTGTTGCAAAAATGGAGTGCAATTCTAGTGAAGACGACAGTGAGTTAAGCAGAGGGCCCTGGACTCTTGAAGACGATACTCTTGAATCCTGAAAAGGAGGTTAATTTAGTGGTTATCCAAACAGCTTCAATCTTGATCGATACATATCCATGCCCCGTTCACTTTGACCAAATTTGGCAAAAACTTTATGTGATTGACAAATGGCAGCTATTGTTAGTGTTTTGAACTTTGAAGTAATCTGCATGCTCGATAGGTTTCATTGTTATCAGAAGTTTAAAACTAATAAAGCAACTAGAATCGATATTGATATTGTGATGCCTGGGGCTGAGAGGAAGTTGGAGGAGCAATTTCATGGCAGTCTCGAATGTTGATGTTTCTTTTGAATGAAATTAATTACTCTTTCATTAGATAGCTGCTATTTGCTTCTTTATTTTGTTATTATTATTCTATATAAATTTGGGCAACACAAATGCAAGAACTGTGTCATTAATTATGCTTTGTTAGTTACATGAATAGTAAGACATTTAAGTGAACTACAATACTGACTATTTGTACAAAAAAAAATCATCCTTTCCAGAAAAAAAAATTCAGGAAGGGGAGAAGCTGAAAGCTTTGCTAGTTGTGCTTGGCGGCGTCCTAAATGGAATGCTGTAGCGATCCATATAAACAGACCTGAGCCAAAAGATAACACAAAATCTTCAGCCAAAGGTATAAACACTAAGAGAAAGAATGCATTATGTAATTAATGTACCAAAGTTGAGAACAAAATAGCTAGAAGCAGTTAGATACTGACAATGCAAAAGCTCATGAATTAATGAAAACATTTTTGAGACTTAAAATAATATCGGGAAGTTGGTTTAGACTTACAGGAAGGGCATAGAGGGAAACGGTTGATGTTCTCCCATGGAGAGTGCCAAACAGTAGTTTGTACATTCCTGCTGCGGATGCATCTCCAAGTCGTTGGACAATTACGTCTATGCATACCTGTGAACTTGTTGTCAGAAAGCCCTGATGTTTCGCTACTTTTGACATTTTAAAATAGTAGCACAACAGATCAATGTATACAAGAATAAAAAGAAAACTTGAATAGATGCTAATTATGTGTCATATTCTTTGAGGACAACATCTCAAATTGAAGAAACTAATTATAAGATCATCAAATAATGGGCATACAAGGTGATTCTATGCTCCACATTCCAGTTACGATAAAAATAAAAATCAATTATAGATTGCTTACCTTAGCTTTGTATTTCTCCTCTGGGAGACCACAGTAAATAAAATTTCTCTTCCAGGCCTGGTCACAACATAAGTAACCACCTACAAAGTAATGAGATGCCTAACTGTAAGATTTACTCAACATTTGAATTTTAGAACAACTTCCAGTTAAATGTCTTCTGAACCCCGTAAAAATTGCATATCTATAATGTTACAGAATCAACTGACAGTAATACTGGATCAACAATACATAACCCTCACTACAAGAGGAAACAAAGTAGGAACTCATGACAAACCTTTCGTATGGTCTCAGAAGCAGCACCCCACCACCCAAGTTGGCCATATTGCAATAGCAATCATATTTGAAAAGGACAAATGGAGCAGCACAATACCACAGTAACCCCAGCAATAGAAAGGATATGTCCCTGTACATATTGGGTAAACCAATAAGAAAAAGAAATTGTATTAGTGGCATCTAGCATGAGTATTGGTGTTTTTCTCCTAAAAATTCATTATCATACTTTTCCTTGGCGACTCAAGATAACACTTGCCATTGTACACTTCCCATTGTCTAGGCATAATACTATGAAACAATGTTATCTAGCAGCATCCCCAAT